TTTTTGTTGACCTTTGTCCATGGAAGGTCCCTGCAAAATTTCATTGAAATTGGTTCAGGGGTTTTGGAGAAGAAGTCGAAAATGTAAATTGTTTACGGACGCACGACAGACGACGGACGACGGACGACGACGGACAAAAGGCGATCGCAATAGGTCACATGAGACTTTGTCTCAGGTGACCTAAAAATGTATCATACAATTAAAACAAAGTCTGGAAGAGATATAATGACGATCTCATTATGAAATAACTATACATATTTCACGACTCATAACAACTTACCATTACAAACAAGGTGGAGTACATCCTCCATAGACAGGAAGTAGAACCTCGGGAAGATCTGTCTGCGTCGCTCCAGGTGGTTGAGGAGGGATCGGCGACAACTTTCCAGGCTGTGGTTCATGTGTTCCAGGATAGACAAAATGTCTGTAGAGAAAGAGGTTACCTTTTACACCTATACATGTGGGATAGAGTTTACCTTTTATACCTATACATGTGGGATAGAGTTTACCTTTTATACCTATACATGTAGAGATAGAGTTTACCATTTATATCTATACATGTAGAAAAAGAGTTTACCTTTTACACCTATACATGTGGGATAGAGTTTACCTTTTACACCTATACATGTAGAGATAGAGTTTACCATTTATATCTATACATGTAGGGATAGAGTTTACCTTTTACACCTGTACATGTAGAGATAGAGTTTACCTTTTACACCTATACATATAGAGATAGAGTTTACCTTTTACACCTATGCATGTGGGGATAGAGTTTACCTTTTATATCTATACATATAGAGCAAGAGTTTACCTTTTACACCTATACATGTAGAGATAGAGTTTACCTTTTACACCTATACATGTGGGATAGAGTTTACCTTTTACACCTATACATGTAGAGATAGAGTTTACCATTTATATCTATACATGTAGGGATAGAGTTTACCTTTTACACCTGTACATGTAGAGATAGAGTTTACCTTTTACACCTATACATATAGAGATAGAGTTTACCTTTTACACCTATGCATGTGGGGATAGAGTTTACCTTTTATATCTATACATATAGAGCAAGAGTTTACCTTTTACACCTATACATGTAGAGATAGAGTTTACCTTTTACACCTATACATGTAGAGATATAGTTTACCTTTTATATCTATACATGGTGGGATAGAGTTTACCTGTTACACCTGTACATGTAGAGATAGAGTTTACCTTTTATATCTATACATGGTGGGATAGAGTTTACCTGTTACACCTGTACATGTAGAGATAGAGTTTACCATTTATATCTATACATATAGAGCAAGAGTGTACCTTTTACACCTATACATGTAGAGATAGAGTTTACCATTTATATCTATACATGTGGGGATAGAGTTTACCATTTATATCTATACATATAGAGCAAGAGTTTACCTTTTACACCTATACATGTAGGATAGAGTTTACTTTTTACACCTATACATGTAGAGATAGAGTTTACTTTTTACACCTATACATGGTGGGATAGAGTTTACCTTTTACACCTGTACATGTAGAGATAGAGTTTACCTTTTATATCTATACATGGTGGGATAGAGTTTACCTTTTACACCTATACATGTAGAGATATAGTTTACCTTTTATATCTATACATGGTGGGATAGAGTTTACCTTTTACACCTATACATGTAGAGATAGAGTTTACCTTTTATATCTATACATGGTGGGATAGAGTTTACCATTTATATCTATACATGTGGGATAGAGTTTACCTTTTATACCTATACATGTGGGGATAGAGTTTACCTTTTATACCTATACATGTGGGATAGAGTTTACCTTTTATACCTATTCATGTGGTGATAGAGTTTACCTTTTATACCTATACATGGTGGGATAGAGTTTACCTTTTACACCTATACATGGTGGGATAGAGTTTACCTTTTATACCTATACATGTGGTGATAGAGTTTACCTTTTATACCTATACATGTGGTGATATAGTTTACCTTTTATACCTATACATGTAGAGATAGAGTTTACCTTTTACACCTATACGTGTGGGGAAAGAGTTTACCTTTTACACCTATACATGTGGCGATAGAGTTTACCTTTTATACCTATACATGAGGTGATATAGTTTACCTTTTATACCTATACATGTAGGGATAGAATAGAGTTTACCTTTTATACCTATACATGTGGGGATAGAGTTTACCTTTTACACCTATACATGGTGGGATAGAGTTTACCTTTTATACCTATACATGTGGTGATATAGTTTACCTTTTATACCTATACATGTAGGGATAGAGTTTACCTTTTACACCTATACATGTGGTGATAGAGTTTACCTTTTATACCTATACATGTGGTGATAGAGTTTACCTTTTATACCTATACATGGTGGGATAGAGTTTACCTTTTACACCTATACATGTAGGGATAGAGTTTACCTTTTACACCTATACATGTAGGGATAGAGTTTACCTTTTACACCTATACATGTAGGGATAGAGTTTACCTTTTATACATGAAGGGATAGAGTTTACCTTTTACACTTATACATGTAGGATAGAGTTTACCTTTTACAATATACATGTGCAAATAATGCCTAAAAGTGTCACTTCTCTATAGTATAAACCCAACCCCAGGGAAAATGAAGAGACTTGTGTAATGCTAAATCAAAATTGTGATTAAGCACACAAGGACCTTTCCATATAAAGAGTATTTCCCATGATTTCCAAGTAAAAAGAAAAAGATCAATGAACATTTTGTTACATATATGACCCCTAGTGCCACAGAACTCAGGCCCCAGGGAAGGTCAGGGCTGTAATGGGTTATAATTACTGACCCCTTTGAGCACTTTTTACCCTTGGATGATAAGAACCTTGTAATTTACAAATCTGATCGATCTGTCTTAATTCGGTCATTGATAATCTTCACATCAGACCCACATTAACTATAGGACCTTTGTGTCCTTGTCCCATTGTATGTTGATAATATTTCAATTCTTTATAAGAGTATAATGAAAGATCTACTTTCTCTATCAACATGCTTCAGCTGTGTTACTTACTTTTTCTGGAGCAACACTGTAGAACATTAGGGTTTTTCTCTGTGGCGCGCATGAGGAGACGGAAGTCTCTGTTTACCACAGCGAACCGATTGGCATCGTGGGATAAGGAAGTTCGCACATCTGCACCAGAGAAAACCTTACGGGAAAAATATAGCTTAAAATTACAAAACTATTCCTGTGTAGCAGATTCTTCAATTCTATATCTGTAAGTAGGACAACTAATGTCTCATCTAAGGACTGAACAATATACAATTCTATATCTGTAAGTAGGACAACTAATGTCTCATCAAAGTACTGTACAATATACAATTGTATGCTGTACAGTCCTTTGCTGAGACATCAGTTGTACTGCTTACAGCTATAGAATTGTATATCTGTAAGTAGGACAACTAATGTCTCATCAAAGGACTGTACAAGATACAATTCTATATCTGTAAGTAGTACAACTGATGTCTCATCAAAGGACTGTACAGCATACAATTCTATATCTGTAAGTACGACAACTAATGTCTCATCAAAGTACTGTACAATATACAATTCTATAGCTGTAAGTAGGACAACTAATGTCCACCACTGTTGTAAGATCCACATCAGACTGGTGACTACTAGTGTAAGATCTTCATCACCCTGGTGACTACTAGTGTAAGATCTTCATCACACTGGTGACTACTAGTACTAATGTCTACTACTGTTGTAAGATCCACATCCCGCTGGTGACTACTAGTGTAAGATCCACATTACACTGGAGACTACTAGTGTAAGATCCACATCCCACTGGTGACTACTAGTGTAAGATCTTCATCACCCTGGTGACTACTAGTGTAAGATCTTCATCACACTGGTGACTACTACTGTAAGATCCACATCACACTGGTGACTACTAGTACTAATGTCTACTACTGTTGTAAGATCCACATCAGACTGGTGACTACTAGTGTAAGATCTTCATCACCCTGGTGACTACTAGTGTAAGATCTTCATCACACTGGTGACTACTACTGTAAGATCCACATCACACTGGGGACTACTAGTGTAAGATCGTCATCACATATCTGTAAGTAGGACAACTAATATAATGTCTCATCGAAGGACTGTACAATATACAATTCTATAGCTGTAAGTAGGACAACTAATGTCTCATCAAAGGCCTGTACAAGATACAATTCTATATCTGTAAGTAGGACAACGAATGTCTCATCAAAGTACTGTACAATATACAATTCTATACCTGTAAGTAGGACAACTAATGTCTCACCAAAGGACTGTACAATATACAAATCTATATCTGTAAGTAGGACAGCTAATGTCTCATCAAAGGACTGTGCAATATACAATTCTATATCTGTAAGTAGGACAACTAATGTCTACTACTGTTGTAAGATCCACATCACACTGGTGACTACTAGTGTAAGATCCACATCACACTGGTGACTACTAGTGTAAGATCCACATCACACTGGTGACTACTAGTGTAAGATCCACATCACACTGGTGACTACTAGTGTAAGATCCACATCACACTGGTGACTACTAGTGTAAGATCCACATCACACTGGTGACTACTAGTGTAAGATCCACATCACACTGGTGACTACTAGTGTAAGATCCACATCACACTGGTGACTACTAGTGTAAGATCCACATCACACTGGTGACTACTAGTGTAAGATCCACATCACACTGGTGACTACTAGTGTAAGATCCACATCACACTGGTGACTACTAGTGTAAGATCCACATCACACTGGTGACTACTAGTGTAAGATCCACATCACACTGGTGACTACTAGTGTAAGATCCACATCACACTGGTGACTACTAGTGTAAGATCCACATCACACTGGTGACTACTAGTGTAAGATCCACATCACACTGGTGACTACTAGTGTAAGATCCACATCACACTGGTGACTACTAGTGTAAGATCCACATCACACTGGTGACTACTAGTGTAAGATCCACATCACACTGGTGACTACTAGTGTAAGATCCACATCACACTGGTGACTACTAGTGTAAGATCCACATCACACTGGTGACTACTAGTGTAAGATCCACATCACACTGGTGACTACTAGTGTAAGATCCACATCACACTGGTGACTACTAGTGTAAGATCCACATCACACTGGTGACTACTAGTGTAAGATCCACATCACACTGGTGACTACTAGTGTAAGATCCACATCACACTGGTGACTACTAGTGTAAGATCCACATCACACTGGTGACTACTAGTGTAAGATCCACATCACACTGGTGACTACTAGTGTAAGATCCACATCACACTGGTGACTACTAGTGTAAGATCCACATCACACTGGTGACTACTAGTGTAAGATCCACATCACACTGGTGACTACTAGTGTAAGATCCACATCACACTGGTGACTACTAGTGTAAGATCCACATCACACTGGTGACTACTAGTGTAAGATCCACATCACACTGGTGACTACTAGTGTAAGATCCACATCACACTGGTGACTACTAGTGTAAGATCCACATCACACTGGTGACTACTAGTGTAAGATCCACATCACACTGGTGACTACTAGTGTAAGATCCACATCACACTGGTGACTACTAGTGTAAGATCCACATCACACTGGTGACTACTAGTGTAAGATCCACATCACACTGGTGACTACTAGTGTAAGATCCACATCACACTGGTGACTACTAGTGTAAGATCCACATCACACTGGTGACTACTAGTGTAAGATCCACATCACACTGGTGACTACTAGTGTAAGATCCACATCACACTGGTGACTACTAGTGTAAGATCCACATCACACTGGTGACTACTAGTGTAAGATCCACATCACACTGGTGACTACTAGTGTAAGATCCACATCACACTGGTGACTACTAGTGTAAGATCCACATCACACTGGTGACTACTAGTGTAAGATCCACATCACACTGGTGACTACTAGTGTAAGATCCACATCACACTGGTGACTACTAGTGTAAGATCCACATCACACTGGTGACTACTAGTGTAAGATCCACATCACACTGGTGACTACTAGTGTAAGATCCACATCACACTGGTGACTACTAGTGTAAGATCCACATCACACTGGTGACTACTAGTGTAAGATCCACATCACACTGGTGACTACTAGTGTAAGATCCACATCACACTGGTGACTACTAGTGTAAGATCCACATCACACTGGTGACTACTAGTGTAAGATCCACATCACACTGGTGACTACTAGTGTAAGATCCACATCACACTGGTGACTACTAGTGTAAGATCCACATCACACTGGTGACTACTAGTGTAAGATCCACATCACACTGGTGACTACTAGTGTAAGATCCACATCACACTGGTGACTACTAGTGTAAGATCCACATCACACTGGTGACTACTAGTGTAAGATCCACATCACACTGGTGACTACTAGTGTAAGATCCACATCACACTGGTGACTACTAGTGTAAGATCCACATCACACTGGTGACTACTAGTGTAAGATCCACATCACACTGGTGACTACTAGTGTAAGATCCACATCACACTGGTGACTACTAGTGTAAGATCCACATCACACTGGTGACTACTAGTGTAAGATCCACATCACACTGGTGACTACTAGTGTAAGATCCACATCACACTGGTGACTACTAGTGTAAGATCCACATCACACTGGTGACTACTAGTGTAAGATCCACATCACACTGGTGACTACTAGTGTAAGATCCACATCACACTGGTGACTACTAGTGTAAGATCCACATCACACTGGTGACTACTAGTGTAAGATCCACATCACACTGGTGACTACTAGTGTAAGATCCACATCACACTGGTGACTACTAGTGTAAGATCCACATCACACTGGTGACTACTAGTGTAAGATCCACATCACACTGGTGACTACTAGTGTAAGATCCACATCACACTGGTGACTACTAGTGTAAGATCCACATCACACTGGTGACTACTAGTGTAAGATCCACATCACACTGGTGACTACTAGTGTAAGATCCACATCACACTGGTGACTACTAGTGTAAGATCCACATCACACTGGTGACTACTAGTGTAAGATCCACATCACACTGGTGACTACTAGTGTAAGATCCACATCACACTGGTGACTACTAGTGTAAGATCCACATCACACTGGTGACTACTAGTGTAAGATCCACATCACACTGGTGACTACTAGTGTAAGATCCACATCACACTGGTGACTACTAGTGTAAGATCCACATCACACTGGTGACTACTAGTGTAAGATCCACATCACACTGGTGACTACTAGTGTAAGATCCACATCACACTGGTGACTACTAGTGTAAGATCCACATCACACTGGTGACTACTAGTGTAAGATCCACATCACACTGGTGACTACTAGTGTAAGATCCACATCACACTGGTGACTACTAGTGTAAGATCCACATCACACTGGTGACTACTAGTGTAAGATCCACATCACACTGGTGACTACTAGTGTAAGATCCACATCACATAGGTGACTACTAGTGTAAGATCCACATCACACTGGTGACTACTGGTGTAAGATCCACATCACACTGGGGACTACTGGTGTAAGATCCACATCACACTGGTGACTACTAGTGTAAGATCTTGGATTGTCACATTGAAGTTTGATATTTTGTTTCTCTTATTGTCAGATTGAAATACTTCTGATTTCTGGTATCCATCTTTGTCTTCTGATCAAATTCATAATGAAATAATGTAAAATGAGGAAAAAGGAAGAACCTTACTCAAGACAACTGAGAATGATCCGACTTCTGACAGCAAAAACAAAAACATCCAGCAGATATTTCCTGAGAAATAATGACAACAAACTTAAAATGACAAAATCCCAGATATCCTCCTAGCTAGTAGCCATTTTTCTTCTGATCAGTCCAAAAATCATCATCACAAATCCAATAGGGATAACAAACTTTTAGAGTCAAAGTTCAAGATGGCCACCTAACAGTCATCAGGTTCTTGCAAAAAGTCCCAAATGAACCTAAATAAAATATTTGAGAAAAGTCACTCAAGCACTTCTCAAGAAATAACGAAATCAAGAATATTTTAAGGATGGACACAAGACAATGCATGAAAGGTCAATTTTGAATAGCCCAGTCTGATGATGGCGAGTCCATGTCCAAGGTACGTCCTACCACCTTAAACCTTACACTAAAAAATCATTTTGAGATGGCCCTCACCTCTTCCAGTTCCACCCATTTTTCCTGGACATCCAACCATGTTGTAAGCACAGCCTCAATTGTCTGCAATTTTTTTTGCCACTTGAGGACGTCATCAAGAAAGGAGCCAGCCGCACTGTTTGCCTGCATGGCCTGTAGTGACACCTGGTGGTGCTCCAGTTCCTGGAAGATGGGGTCTGTGTTGGTGAGGAGACTCAATGTGCCGTAGTCCTGTTAACAGAGAAGCGGCTTACAATAGGGCAGGGCTGGTATAAACAACAATAGGGCAGGGCTGGTATAAACAACAACAATAGGGCAGGGCTGGTATAAACAACAACAATAGGGCAGGGCTGGTATAAACAACAACAATAGGGCAAGGCTGGTATAAACAACAACAATAGGGCAGGGCTGGTATAAACAACAACAATAGGGCAAGACTGGCATAAACAACAACAATAGGGCAGGGCTGGTAAAAACAACAATAGGGCAGGGCTGGTATAAACAACAACAATAGGGCAGGGCTGGTATAAACAACAACAATAGGGCAGGGCTGGTATAAACAACAACAATAGGGCAGGGCTGGTACAAACAACAACAATAGGGCAGGGCTGGTATAAACAACAACAATAGGGCAGGGCTGGTATAAACAACAACAATAGGGCAGGGCTGGTATAAACAACAACAATAGGGCAGGGCTGGTATAAACAACAACAATAGGGCAGGGCTGGTATAAACAACAACAATAGGGCAGGGCTGGTATAAACAACAACAATAGGGCAGGGCTGGTATAAACAACAACAATAGGGCAGGGCTGGTATAAACAACAACAATAGGGCAGGGCTGGTATAAACAACAACAATAGGGCAGGGCTGGTATAAACAACAACAATAGGGCAGGGCTGGTATAAACAACAACAATAGGGCAAGGCTGGTATAAACAACAACAATAGGGCAGGGCTGGTATAAACAACAACAATAGGGCAAGACTGGCATAAACAACAACAATAGGGCAGGGCTGGTATAAACAACAATAGGGCAGGGCTGGTATAAACAACAACAATACGGCAGGGCTGGTATAAACAACAACAATAGGGCAGGGCTGGTATAAAAAAAACAATAGGGCAAGGCTGGTATAAACAATAACAATAGGACAGTGCTGGTATAAAAAAACAACAATAGGGCAAGGCTGGTATAAAAAACAACATTTAACTTTTAAAACATTGAATCTATTAAAAGACCTGTCAGTCTCTGAGGAACACTGTTATACCTGGAAACTGACATTATTCTTACAGCCTTTCTTTAAGTTGCTAGAGGTAACTGATAACAAACTGATATTACTTTAATATGTAACTTTTGTTTCAAACTTTTGATTGCCAAAAGTGTAAGGCTATAATTGAAGTAATTAAGAAATTCAAAATCTAAGAAGTTTGCTAGTTCTCTACTTTTTCTGTAAAACAGAAAATCAAAACCAGCTATTCCTCATCATTTATAAAATCGAAGAGTTTATTATAATTACCTGCAGTAAAATTGTGAATTATATTTGAATTATAATGGCAAGGAATTAACTTATATCTTCAGAAAATGACAATATCAAACATGTTAATATATTGTATATGAATTTTGTTACAATATTATATTAGTTTATCTATGTTAATGAAATATGTATTGAATATAATGATTATATAAAACATGCAGTTTTATTTCAAAATAAATAAATATAAACGGGTAAAATACATTCTAAAATATAGACTTGAGTATCTTAAGTCATTTAAATGGATCAAGGTTAGGGATATTACATGATATACAATAAATCAACAAGTTTGTGTTATTGGGACAGCTGGATACAAATCTCTACACCTATTACAGGTTTGTGTTATTGGGACAGTTGGAGACAAATCTCTACACCTAGTACAGGTTTGTGTTATTGGGACAGCTGGATACAAATCTCTACACCTAGTACAGGTTTGTGTTATTGGGACAGCTGGATACACATCTCTACACCTATAACAGGTTTGTGTTATTGGGACAGCTGAATACAAATCTCTACACCTAGTACAGGTTTGTGTTATTGGGACAGCTGGATACAAATCTCTACACCTAGTACAGGTTTGTGTTATTGGGACAGCTGGATACAAATCTCTACACCTAGTACAGGTTTGTGTTATTGGGACAGCTGGATACAAATCTCTACACCTAGTACAGGTTTGTGTTATTGGGACAGCTGGATACAAATCTCTACACCTAGTACAGGTTTGTGTTATTGGGACAGCTGGATACAAATCTCTACACCTAGTACAGGTTTGTGTTATTGGGACAGCTGGATACACATCTTTACACCTAGTACAGGTTTGTGTTATTGGGACAGCTGGATACAAATCTTTACAACTAGTACAGGTTTGTGTTATTAGGACAGCTGGATACAAATCTCTACACCTAGTACAGGTTTGTGTTATTGGGACAGCTGGATACAAATCTCTACACCTAGTACAGGTTTGTGTTATTGTGACAGCTGGATACAAATCTCTACACCTAGTACAGGTTTGTGTTATTGGGACAGCTGGATACAAATCTCTACACCTAGTACAGGTTTGTGTTATTGGGACAGCTGGATACAAATCTCTACACCTAGTACAGGTTTGTGTTATTGGGACAGCTGGATACAAATCTCTACACCTAGTACAGGTTTGTGTTATTGGGACAGCTGGATACAAATCTCTACACCTAGTACAGGTTTGTGTTATTGGGACAGCTGGATACAAATCTCTACACCTAGTACAGGTTTGTGTTATTGGGACAGCTGGATACAAATCTCTACACCTAGTACAGGTTTGTGTTATTGGGACAGCTGGATACAAATCTCTACACCTAGTACAGGTTTGTGTTATTGGGACAGCTGGATACAAATCTCTACACCTAGTACAGGTTTGTGTTATTGGGACAGCTGGATACAAATCTCTACACCTAGTACAGGTTTGTGTTATTGGGACAGCTGGATACAAATCTCTACACCTAGTACAGGTTTGTGTTATTGGGACAGCTGGATACAAATCTCTACACCTAGTACAGGTTTGTGTTATTGGGACAGCTGGATACAAATCTCTACACCTAGTACAGGTTTGTGTTATTGGGACAGCTGGATACAAATCTCTACACCTAGTACAGGTTTGTGTTATTGGGACAGCTGGATACAAATCTCTACACCTAGTACAGGTTTGTGTTATTGGGACAGCTGGATACAAATCTCTACACCTAGTACAGGTTTGTGTTATTGGGACAGCTGGATACAAATCTCTACACCTAGTACAGGTTTGTGTTATTGGGACAGCTGGATACAAATCTCTACACCTAGTACAGGTTTGTGTTATTGGGACAGCTGGATACAAATCTCTACACCTAGTACAGGTTTGTGTTATTGGGACAGCTGGATACAAATCTCTACACCTAGTACAGGTTTGTGTTATTGGGACAGCTGGATACAAATCTCTACACCTAGTACAGGTTTGTGTTATTGGGACAGCTGGATACAAATCTCTACACCTAGTACAGGTTTGTGTTATTGGGACAGCTGGATACAAATCTCTACACCTAGTACAGGTTTGTGTTATTGGGACAGCTGGATACAAATCTCTACACCTAGTACAGGTTTGTGTTATTGGGACAGCTGGATACAAATCTCTACACCTAGTACAGGTTTGTGTTATTGGGACAGCTGGATACAAATCTCTACACCTAGTACAGGTTTGTGTTATTGGGACAGCTGGATACAAATCTCTACACCTAGTACAGGTTTGTGTTATTGGGACAGCTGGATACAAATCTCTACACCTAGTACAGGTTTGTGTTATTGGGACAGCTGGATACAAATCTCTACACCTAGTACAGGTTTGTGTTATTGGGACAGCTGGATACAAATCTCTACACCTAGTACAGGTTTGTGTTATTGGGACAGCTGGATACAAATCTCTACACCTAGTACAGGTTTGTGTTATTGGGACAGCTGGATACAAATCTCTACACCTAGTACAGGTTTGTGTTATTGGGACAGCTGGATACAAATCTCTACACCTAGTACAGGTTTGTGTTATTGGGACAGCTGGATACAAATCTCTACACCTAGTACAGGTTTGTGTTATTGGGACAGCTGGATACAAATCTCTACACCTAGTACAGGTTTGTGTTATTGGGACAGCTGGATACAAATCTCTACACCTAGTACAGGTTTGTGTTATTGGGACAGCTGGATACAAATCTCTACACCTAGTACAGGTTTGTGTTATTGGGACAGCTGGATACAAATCTCTACACCTAGTACAGGTTTGTGTTATTGGGACAGCTGGATACAAATCTCTACACCTAGTACAGGTTTGTGTTATTGGGACAGCTGGATACAAATCTCTACACCTAGTACAGGTTTGTGTTATTGGGACAGCTGGATACAAATCTCTACACCTAGTACAGGTTTGTGTTATTGGGACAGCTGGATACAAATCTCTACACCTAGTACAGGTTTGTGTTATTGGGACAGCTGGATACAAATCTCTACACCTAGTACAGGTTTGTGTTATTGGGACAGCTGGATACAAATCTCTACACCTAGTACAGGTTTGTGTTATTGGGACAGCTGGATACAAATCTCTACACCTAGTACAGGTTTGTGTTATTGGGACAGCTGGATACAAATCTCTACACCTAGTACAGGTTTGTGTTATTGGGACAGCTGGATACAAATCTCTACACCTAGTACAGGTTTGTGTTATTGGGACAGCTGGATACAAATCTCTACACCTAGTACAGGTTTGTGTTATTGGGACAGCTGGATACAAATCTCTACACCTAGTACAGGTTTGTGTTATTGGGACAGCTGGATACAAATCTCTACACCTAGTACAGGTTTGTGTTATTGGGACAGCTGGATACACATCTCTACACCTAGTACAGGTTTGTGTTATTGGGACAGCTGGATACAAATCTCTACACCTAGTACAGGTTTGTGTAATTGGGACAGCTGGATACAAATCTCTACACCTATTACAAGTTTGTGTTATTGGGACAGCTGGATACAAATCTCTACACCTATTACAGGTTTGTGTTATTGGGACCGCTGGATACACATCTCTACACCTCGTACAGGTTTGTGTTATTGGGACCGCTGGATACACATCTCTACACCTATTACAGGTTTGTGTAATTGGGACAGCTGGATACACAGCTTTACACCTAGTACAGGTTTGTGTTATCGGGACAGCTGGATACACATCTTTACACCTAGTACAGGTTTGTGTTTTATCATGGCCCCAGGGATCTTCTAGCTCATTATGAAATCGGAAAAATGAAGCACTATATTGGTTGATATCAAAATCAAGATTTATTCAGAATGTATCTTCGTTATTATAGCAGACTGCAGGTCCCTTCATCAACTAAATTTGTACTTTTAAGATATAACCGTTTCAAATTTGAAGATTTGAATTGTTACTGTATCTTTGTAAATTGTCCATTTTATATGTTCTGCAATATTCACGATGGACATTTGTTATATATCATGTGCTTAATTTGAAGAGGAACAGGAATAGTTAAAACTCATCCATGTCTTATCAAGTTTGTGATGTTGATATGATAACAGGCTGAGTTATAGATCAACAAGCTTCCCTCACAGAGCTACTTATGCTGGTTACTTCAATCAGTAATGTTATCAGAAACAGTAGAAGTGGGATAAAACAGGTTACTGAAAGATAATAGCTTCAAAACTATGTGGTATATTTATATAGTGTACATGTAAATAGCTTATAGCATATACACAGTTGGAATAAATCAAAGTTAGCAAGACCACCACCTCTATACACATCACACCATAACCACACCTACTTCAGCTTCCACCAGAAATACTTATCATGTATGTGTCCCTCTATATACAGTATGACATTGTTGTCATGTGTCCCTCTATATACAGTATGACATTGTTGTCATGTTTCCTTCTATATACAGTATGACATTGTTGTCATCTGTCCCTCTATATACAGTATGACATGGTTATCATGTGTCCCTCTATATACAGTATGCCATTGTTGTCATGTGTCCCTCTATAGACAGTATGACATTGTTGTCATGTGTCCCACTATATACAGTATGACATTGTTGTCATGTGTCCCTGTATATACAGTATTACATTGTTATCATGTGTCCCTCTATATACAGTATGACAGTGTTATCATGTGTCCCTCTAAATACAGTAAAACATTGTTATCATGTTTCCCTCTATATACAGTATGACATTGTTGTCATGTGTCCCTCTATATACAGTATGACATTGTTGTCATGTGTCCCTCTATGTACAGTATGACATTGTTGTGATGTGTCCCTCTATATACAGTATGACATTGTTATCATGTGTCCCTCTATATACAGTAAAACATTGTTATCATGTGTCCCTCTATATACAGTATGACATTGTAATCATGTGTCCCTCTATATACATTAAAACATTGTTATCATGTATCCCTCTATATACAGTATAACATTGTAATCATGTGTTACAATAAAAGCAATTTAAGTGTTTCTGGTAAGTAGGTGTGGGGATGTGGTGATCTAGATATTCCCACAGGACCAACGCAGTGTGTATATACCTTGTCATTATGAGTTCTTCACAAATCCATCGTTTTAATTCTCAAACAAACCTCTCTACAGTACATTTCCATCAAACAAACTATTTCAAACAAATCAATTTTAACAAACAAAAATTAAAGTAAAAATGTATTTGTGGTAAAAACAATAAAATTTAAAAGTAGCTAGATTAATGTGATCCAAATTGATTAAAATGTGAATAAAAAACATTTAATTAAAAAGAACAGTTAGTATTCAATACAGTTAAAGATTAATCTTCAAACAAAATAGTGAATTAAACACACATATTTTTCCAAAATTTAAGATTTTAACATAGAAACTATTGAAATTGAATCTTATCATCATCATATTCACACTTTCTACATGTCCATGTGGGTTCCACCTAGATATGTTAGTTCACCTGTACCAGGATACATACGTTAGCGATTACCTCTCCCAAGTTGAGAAGGGAGGCGGGAAGGGAGGCAATGCTGCTTCTCTTGTTTTTGCTGTGTGAGCTCTGGTTGGATATCCGGCTGGTGGTGCGTGCCTGGCTGCGACTGGGGATGGCGACATATTGTAGGGAGTGTCCACCCTCACTCTGGGACTCACTATGGGCATCCTGTATAACACATAGAACATTTATTTCAATTATAACTGACAGATATTCATTTAACCTTATCTGAAGTTAAACTTGAAATTCTAGTGAATATCACATTGTGACATGTTACACTGTGACATATAACACTGTGACATCTAACACTGTGACATAACACTGTGACATATAACACTGTGACATATAACACTGTGACATTATAACATTGTGACATGTAACACTGTGACATATAACACTGTGACATATAACACTGTGACATATAACACTGACATTATAACACTGTGACATATAACACTGTGACATATAACACTGTGACATATAACACTGTGACATATAACACTGTGACATATAACACTGTGACATATAACACTGTGACATATAACACTGTGACATATAACACTGTGACATATAACACTGTGACATATAACACTGTGACATATAACACTGTGACATATAACACTGTGACATATAACACTGTGACATATAACACTGTGACATATAACACTGTGACATATAACACTGTGACATATAACACTGACATTATAACACTGTGACATATAACACTGTGACATATAACACTGTGACATATAACACTGTGACATATAACACTGTGACATATAACACTGTGACATATAACACTGTGACATATAACACTGTGACATATAACACTGTGACATATAACACTGTGACATATAACACTGTGACATATAACACTGTGACATATAACACTGTGACATATAACACTGTGACATATAACACTGTGACATATAACACTGTGACATATAACACTGTGACATATAACACTGTGACATATAACACTGTGACATATAACACTGTGACATATAACACTGTGACATATAACACTGTGACATATAACACTGTGACATATAACACTGTGACATATAACACTGTGACATATAACACTGTGACATATAACACTGTGACATATAACACTGTGACATATAACACTGTGACATATAACACTGACATTATAACACTGTGACATATAACACTGTGACATATAACACTGTGACATATAACACTGTGACATATAACACTGTGACATATAACACTGTGACATATAACACTGTGACATATAACACTGTGACATATAACACTGTGACATATAACACTGTGACATATAACACTGTGACATATAACACTGTGACATATAACACTGTGACATATAACACTGTGACATATAACACTGTGACATATAACACTGTGACATATAACACTGTGACATATAACACTGTGACATATAACACTGTGACATATAACACTGTGACATATAACACTGTGACATATAACACTGTGACATATAACACTGTGACATATAACACTGTGACATATAACACTGTGACATATAACACTGTGACATATAACACTGTGACATATAACACTGTGACATATAACACTGTGACATATAACACTGTGACATATAACACTGTGACATATAACACTGTGACATATAACACTGTGACATATAACACTGTGACATATAACACTGTGACATATAACACTGTGACATATAACACTGTGACATATAACACTGTGACATATAACACTGTGACATATAACACTGTGACATATAACACTGTGACATATAACACTGTGACATATAACACTGTGACATATAACACTGTGACATATAACACTGTGACATATAACACTGTGACATATAACACTGTGACATATAACACTGTGACATATAACACTGTGACATATAACACTGTGACATATAACACTGTGACATATAACACTGTGACATATAACACTGTGACATATAACACTGTGACATATAACACTGTGACATATAACACTGTGACATATAACACTGTGACATATAACACTGTGACATATAACACTGTGACATATAACACTGTGACATATAACACTGTGACATATAACACTGTGACATATAACACTGTGACATATAACACTGTGACATATAACACTGTGACATATAACACTGTGACATATAACACTGTGACATATAACACTGTGACATATAACACTGTGACATATAACACTGTGACATATAACACTGTGACATATAACACTGTGACATATAACACTGTGACATATAACACTGTGACATATAACACTGTGACATATAACACTGTGACATATAACACTGTGACATATAACACTGTGACATATAACACTGTGACATATAACACTGTGACATATAACACTGTGACATATAACACTGTGACATATAACACTGTGACATATAACACTGTGACATATAACACTGTGACATATAACACTGTGACATATAACACTGTGACATATAACACTGTGACATATAACACTGTGACATATAACACTGTGACATATAACACTGTGACATGTAACACTGTGACATATAACACTGTGACATGTAACACTGTGACATATAACACTGACATTATAACACTGTGACATATAACACTGTGACATATAACACTGTGACATATAACACTGTGACATATAACACTGTGACATATAACACTGTGACATATAACACTGTGACATATAACACTGTGACATATAACACTGTGACATATAACACTGTGACATATAACACTGTGACATATAACACTGTGACATATAACACTGTGACATATAACACTGTGACATATAACACTGTGACATATAACACTGTGACATATAACACTGTGACATATAACACTGTGACATATAACACTGTGACATATAACACTGTGACATATAACACTGTGACATATAACACTGTGACATATAACACTGTGACATATAACACTGTGACATATAACACTGTGACATATAACACTGTGACATATAACACTGTGACATATAACACTGTGACATATAACACTGTGACATATAACACTGTGACATATAACACTGTGACATATAACAATGTGACATATAACACTGACATTATAACACTGTGACATATAACAATGTGACATATAACACTGACATTATAACACTGTGACATATAACAATGTGACATATAGCACTGTGACATGTAACATTGTGACATGTAACACTGTGACATCTAACACTGTGACATAACATTGTGACATATAACACTGTGACATATAACACTGTGACATGTAACATTGTGACATATAGCACTGTGACAAATAACACTGACAATATAACAATGTGACATATAACACTGACATTATAACACTGTGACATATAACACTGACATATAACACTGACATGTAACACTGACATTATAACACTGTGGCATATAACACTGTGATGTTTAACACTGTGACATATAACACAGGTGATGGTATAAAGTGATGACAGGTGATGGTATAAAGTGATGACAGGTGATGGTATAAAGTGATGACAGGTGATGGTATAAAGTGATGACAGGTGATGGTATAAAGTGATGACAGGTGATGGTATAAAGTGATGACAGGTGATGGTATAAAGTGATGACAGGTGATGGTATAAAGTGATGACAGGTGATGGTATAAAGTGATGACAGGTGATGGTATAAAGTGATGACAGGTGATGGTATAAAGTGATGACAGGTGATGGTATAAAGTGATGACAGGTGATGGTATAAAGTGATGACAGGTGATGGTATAAAGTGATGACAGGTGATGGTATAAAGTGATGACAGGTGATGGTATAAAGTGATGACATTGCCTACCTGGCTGATATACTGCTGCTCCAGACGACTACGTGTGTGGAGGCGCGACTCAAAGATCTTACTTAGCCAGATCTCATCGTAAGTCTTAAGGGACTGTTCAATAGATAAGTCCTTCACTGCCTTCTGTACGATCACCCTTACATCATCCACATGTTCTGTACATAAACACAAAATCAATACCAACAATTTTTCACAACTAAATTTATAGAAAACCAATCGGTTAAAAAGCAAAAGGTACGTTATCATCTTTCAGTATTAGCCTTGCTTCTGAAATGCAAAATGTGTCAAAAAACCTCAATAGTTGCTTTGACAACAATTCCTCTATTGTGGTTTTCATTTATAAGACTAGTGTATGTAATGATGCATTGAAAATTGGTCACATTTACATTAATTTCAAAACTGAAAACAAAATATGTAATCAAAGTTAAATGTAACAAGAGTACCGCGGGGCGGAACAAAATACACCCGTCGAATGCCATATAGTGTTATATACTCTCTTACATTGAAATAAGATCTGCATCATTCTAAGAGTGGTTAGCTGATATGCTATAAAAAATGTAGGAGAAATCTTCAGACAAGAAATCAAATACTGAAATGAACAAAAGGCAATAAATTTTGCAAAAATCGTCGAATCAAAATTCTTTTAAGGGGGACACAACTTCATATCATGATTATAAATTTAAAGTATACCAAGTTTCAAAGAGATCCGTTGAAAAATGTAGGAGATTTCCGGACAAAATTCAAATACTGAAATGAACATAGGGCAATAACTTTTGAAAAAATTGTCGAATCAAAATTCTTTTAATGGAGACACAACTTCATATCATGATTATCATGTATACCAAGTTTCAAAAAGATCGGTCGAAAAAATGTAGGAGGAGATTGCCGGACAAAAATCAAATACTGAAATGAACAAAGGGCAATAACTTTTGAAAAAATTGTCGAATCAAAATTCTTTTAAGGGAAACACAACTTCATATCATGATTATAATGTATACCAAGTTTCAAATAGGTCAGTCGAAAAATGTAGGAGGAGATTGCCGGACAAACAAAGTTTACACCGGCTGGACGGACGGACAACGCCATACCATAATACTATCGCCAAATTTGACGGTCGTATAAAAGTTACATCTTCTACAAATATTAAAACTTGACAAGAATTCCACAGGAGTGGATGTGTCGCCTGCTCAGCGCTTTTAGTAAACTCAACAGAAAAACCTTTATATTTGTTGAACATTATGGCTTCTAGCATTACCGTACAAAATTTGAAAGGAATTGATTAAAAAATAAAAAAGTTCTTGCATTTAATATACAATGCCCTAATTTTTGGCAATAAAAGGGACATAACTCCACCCAAAATGCACGTTAACTTTTGAAATGCGAACTTGTCCAAGCTATATTGGTATGCAATGTGTTTACCAAGTTTGAGTTCAGTCAACCTAAGGGAACTTAAGTAATCACACGGAAACCTTGTTAATATATTTTTATAAATTGACCTTTGCATAAACTTTGATGAAATTCTTGGTCAGGATGGACATGGTAAACATTATATGCCCCCTATTTTTATGATGAGTCAGGGGATGGGGGCATACAATACTGAATTTTGAAATTTTGAGATTTACTCAATTATGCTAATAAAAATTGAAATCTTTTTATTGAAATGTTCAATATAGTGTACTGCTACAAAAGGATAAAACCATGAAATGATGTCTGTTTTAACATCACGGACTTACTCTGAAGACCAAGGCTGAGCAGTTCCCCAAGAGTCATCCTCTTGAGAGTGTCATTGTCGATGGTGAGGGCGCCACCTGTCACACGCACCAGCTGTTTCCAGTGACGTGTTCGCATTGCCGGATTAGACAGATCATCAATCAAGGGTAGACAAGTCTGGAGGAAAAAAACCACTGGCACCGTTAGAGACTTGATGACACCATATGACCCCCATAATGTTTGTCTGTACCTTCTCTCCCCATTTTTGACACATGTGTAAGGTAACGCAGGTGTCTAGGGGATCGCGCATACTACGAAGTTTGCTTAACGTGGAATTGCACAGTAGATACTTGCGCCATCTATGACCTTATATTGTCTCTCAGACCTTATATGGTATCTGATATCTCATTATATGGATGTCATTCATTCACTTTTCATTCATATGCAAATGTTTTCGGCAGCGATCCCTAGCATTTTCATTCATACCGTAGTGACGCCATTTTGTGGTTTGCCAGAGAAAGCATTCACTTCGATACTTTCTTAACTAGCCATATGTATGTGAAAAATACAACAATGCATGTATTTTGTGAGTATACAATTAATAAAAATTATTCTGATTAATTTTCTGACGATGCTCTGCTTGCTGAAATTGTGCTTCCCGCAATCTTGCCCGAAGCGGATGGTTTCCTCTGACCTACTTACTGTTCCTACCTAACTACAGTACACAGATCCCGCCACAATGTTTGGGTCACTAACATTTTGGTTCATATTTTGTTTTAGGAGCACATTTGAAGGACATCAATGCAGTATCTTTATTTTGTTCAATAAGGATAACATGAAAATAGAACTATAAGCCACAGGCTATTTTCAGGTCCAAAGGACCATGGAATTTAACTGGAAATATCTTTTTTATATTCATAGCAATATGTTCATAGTTTTAAAATGGGGATCTCAATCTTTTCCATGTTATGACCATGGGACCTAGTCCACTACAGCAATCTCACCAGAACCCAGAGCTTATCCTGGTAGCATACTTGTGTTCATCTTTCTCCATACCCAGCAAGGAAAAATGAATATGGTTATCGGGTGGAGGATCTCAACCATTTTCATGTTTTGACAGAAGGGACACTTGTGATCTTGAAAGTAGGTCAAGGTCATTTATGTGAAGAAAACTTCATCCCATTTCATCTGAGGTACCTACTTTACAAAAATGACAACCTTATTGAAAAACTGTAGAACAGAATGTTTAATGAGCTATTTACTGAATGCTGACCAGTGATCCATGCCAGTACCGAAAGTAGACCTTGACCTCAGCACACTATATTATAAAAGATTGGTTTGCAGTCTACATGCCACACACAAGTATCATATTGCTCCATAGACAGTATGGTTCTTCAGATAAAGTTGTTTGAAGTTAATACATCTGACCACTGTCACCTTGAAAATAAGTCAGGGTCATTTGTTTGTGGAAACTTGATAGCACGAATCCATCCCAGGTACCCACAATATCATAACTCTAAGACTTTCAATGTTCACCAAGAAGTCGTTTAGATATAAAAGTTGACTGAAAACAGACAGATGATGGATGCCTGGTAATAATACCACAAGCTCACGGCAATTCATGTCAAGTGAGCCAAGATGACACAAATGAAATCCTTTTCTTTGAAAAAATATCACTTCCTCAAGTCCAGATTGGATTTTTTTTATAAAAATGTGGGGTCTTATACTTAACATGTTCCTGTATGTGTAACTTGAATTTAGCTTCGACATCTCATTGATTGGAAAGAGATAAGGATTTACCTGTTGGTTGTTACAATATTTTACCTGAACGGTGGTGATCGACTCGTGCAGTCCCATGTAAACGTCCCAGGTGAAGATGTCCTCTGGCAGGGCACGGACAATATCTAATTGTTTGTTGCTTTCCTCCCGCAAAAACTTGGTGTTCATCTTCTGCCATCGATGTCGTTTCCACTCAGCTTGCTGCTCATCTATAACTCTGCAATACAACACATAATCCATTACCCCACGTCCTCAGTCTACAGGTAACACATAATCCATTACCCCACGTCCTCAGTCTACAGGTAATACATAATCCAGTACCCCACGTCCTCAGTCTATAGTAACACATAATCCATTCCCCCACGTCCTCAGTCTTTAGTAACACATAATCCATTATCCCATGTCCTCAGTCTATAGTAACCCATAATCCATTACCCCACGTCCGGAGTCTACAGGTAATACATAATCCAGTCCCCCCCGTCCTCAGTCTACAGGATAAACTTAATCCATAAGCCCACGCCCTCAGTTTATAGTAACACATAATCCATTACCCCACGTCCTCAGTCTACAGGTTACACATAATCCAGTAGCCCACGTCCTCAGTCTATAGTAACACATAATCCATTACCCCACGTCCTCAGTCTATAGTAACACATAATCCATTCCCCCACGTCCTCAGTCTATAGTAACACATAATCCATTATCCCATGTCCTCAGTCTATAGTAACACATAATCCATTACCCCATGTCCTCAGTCTATAGTAACACACAATCCAGTACCCCACGTCCTCAGTCTATAGTAACACACAATCCAATACCCCACGTCCTCAGTCTATAGTAACACATAATCCATTATCCCATGTCCTCAGTCTATAGTAACACATAATCCATTACCCCATGTCCTCAGTCTATAGTATTACATAATTTATTACCTTAGGCCTGCATATTAAAGAACTTTTACAGAAACTCAATCTTACCTGACTGTCTCCCACACCTGTTTTAGGTTGTTCAGCTCATGACGACATCTGTTGAATAAACAAGACATGATAGATTAATTTCACTGAAGGTTAGTTGAGGACAGTAGTATTACATCCCTGACAATCAACCAGGTAGTAACTATTGTATAACAATACTGACTCAACAAAAACCTGGGAACTATTAGTACAGATATGAAACATTTACAGTCTCCAGTATAACATCTTTCCACTAATTCAAGTATAAAGTATAAAGAAAGAACCTAAGTAAGAAGAAGAAGAAGAAGAAGAAGAAGAAGAAGAAGAAGAAGAAGACCCTTCATTCGAAGGAGAGACAAAATAAAGTAATCACATGGTACATAGTCATGTTGATTTCCTAGTGAAAACCTGCTACTTACTGTGGAAGGATGGCAAAGTTGACAACAGAAGTCTCCAATAGTTCCTGTAGTTCAATGAGATCCTGGGAAAGTAAAACTCAGGTTTATCATTACTCAAGACATCATTTACCGGTTTATGAAAAATTCAATCAATACTTTTAATAAAATATCAGGAAAAATGATTTATTTCAAGCAAACCTCAGTGATCTTAAGTTTGGTGTACTGAAGGGTGTACATTTTAGTGCGTAAACTTTAGTGCACTGACACAGTGCACCAGTGATAAGCACTGACTTAAAAAGATATGCTCAAAGTACATATTGTGTTCATTCATCCTGATAACTGAAACTGTGTCAACAGTAAATATAGTACAACTATTGACAAACACATGTTAACGTGTGTTACCTGGGCCTCGTTCTCCAGCACTGTCAGCCGTTTAGCAAAATTATCTATGATAACCCAAGCATCCCCAATGATACAGTCGCGCTGGTACACATCCGAGTTCTCCAGCTCCTGGTACAGTGCTGACACACGATTACCAAACGCTTCAAGGTCCTGAAACAACACATTTTTTTTTTTAAAACAGCTATACTGTAGACAATACTGGAGGCTGTCTTATCTAGGACAGCTATACTGTAGGACAATACTGGAGGGTGTCTTATCTAGTACAGCTATACTGTAGACAATACTGGAGGCTGTCTTATCTAGTACAGCTATACTGTAGGACAATACTGGAGGCTGTCTTATCTAGTACAGCTATACTGTAGACAATACTGGAGGATGTCTTATCTAGTACAGATATACTGTAGACATTACTGGAGGGTGTCTTATCTAGTACAGCTATACTGTAGACAATACTGGAGGCTGTCTTATATAGTACAGCTATACTGTAGGACAATACTGGAGGATGTCTTATATAGTACAGCTATACTGTAGGACAATACTGGAGGGGGTCTTATCTAGTACAGATATACTGTAGGACAATACTTGAGGGCGTCTAATCTAGTACAGCTATACTGTAGACAATACTGGAGGATGTCTTATCTATTACAGATATACTGTAGACATTACTGGAGGGTGTCTTATCTAGTACAGATATACTGTAGGACAATACTGGAGGGTGTCTAATCTAGTACAGCTATACTGTAGACAATACTGGGGGGTGTCTTATCTAGTACAGCTATACTGTAGGACAATACTGGAGGGTGTCTTCTCTAGTACAGATATACTGTAGTACAATACTGGAGGGTGTCTTTTCTAGTACAGATATACTGTAGGACTATACTGGAGGGTGTCTAATCCAGTACAGCTATACTGTAGGTCAATTCTGGAGGGTGTCTTATCTATTACAGCTATACTGTAGGACAATACGGGAGGGTGTCTTATCTAGTACAGTTATACTGCAAACAATACTGGAGGGTGTCTTACCCAGTACAGATATACTGTAGGACTATACTGGAGGGTGTCTAATCTGGTACAGCTATACTGTAGGACCATACTGGAGGTTGTCTTATCTAGTACACCTATACTGTAGGACAATACGGGAGGGTGTCTAATCTAGTACGGCTATACTGTAGACAATACTGGGTGGTGTCTTATCTAGTACAGCCATTATGTAGGACAATACTGGAGGGCGTCTAATCTAGTACAGCTATAATGTAGACAATACTGGGGGGCGTCTTATCTAGTACAGCTGTACTGTAGACAATACTGGGTGGTGTCTTATCTAGTACAGCCATTATGTAGGACAATACTGGAGGATGTCTTATATAGTACAGCTATACTGTAGGCAATACTGGAGGGTGTCTTACCCAGTACAGATATACTGTAGGCAATACTGGAGGGTGTCTTACCCAGTACAGATATACTGTAGACAATACTGGGTGGTGTCTTATCTAGTACAGCCATTATGTAGGACAATACTGGAGGGAGTCTTATCTAGTACAGCTACTCGGTAGACAATACTGGAGGGTGTCTTATCTAGTACAGCTATTCTGTAGACAATACTGGAGGGTGTCTTATTTAGTACAGCTATACTGTAGGACAATACTGGAGGGTGTCTTATCTAGTACAGCTATTCTGTAGGACAATACTGGAGAGTGTCTTATCTAGTACAGCTATACTGTAGGATAATACTGGAGGGGGCCTTATCTAGTACAGCTATACTGTAGACAATACTGGAGGGTGTCTTATCTAGGACAGCTATTCTGTAGACAATACTGGAGGGTGTCTTATCTAGTATAGCTATACTGTAGCAATTTTTTATACCTGAGTGATTCTAACTGATTCCTCCTGTATGCGTGGCCCAAGCCTCTGTTTTGCAAGAGACACCTTGGTTTTGAGGTTATTCCAGCGACCAGGGGCAGCATTAAAGAGCTGCTGTGTCCGCTCTGGCAGCTTCTGTCCATACTTCTTCAAGAGGAGCACTGTTCGGTGCATGGCTGTAAACTTTCCATCCATCTCAGACTGCTGGGCTGACACCTTATATACACAACATCTCTCAAATTACCACAAACAAAGCATTTAAATTATCACACACAACAACAAGATACCTTAGTTACATTTACTACACACAAAGGCAACTAATCTTCACTCCAGTCACCTCTAATTACAAACACAATGGCAATATCTGTAAAGTTATCATACAAAAGGAAAACATCCCTGGATCAAGTTACCCTCAAACCAGGGCAGACATCTTCCCTAAAACTAGGATGTTTCAAACTTATTACATACTTCTCATTTCAGATGTTAGGTATATCCTCATTGATTTCATAATTAATGAGTATTCATAACATATACAGGGTACAGATGCACAGGGGAGATAACCGGTGACATAAAGGGAACTAAGCATACCTCATTGAAAAGGGAACACAACTAACCATACCTCATTGAAAAGGGGACAAAACTAACCATACCTCATTGAAAAGGGAACACAACTAGCCATACCTCATTGAAAAGAGGGGGGGAAACATGCCTCATTAAAAAGAGGGGGGAAAACATACCTCATTAAAAAGCCTCATCATTTTCATGAAGGAAGCGGTGTCTCTCTCCTCTCCAGTGATACTTTCAATCTCTGGTTCAATCCTCTTCAGAAACAGGTCCAGTTTCCCTAGCATGTGGCTCACCTAAACATTGAAATATCAAACCTTACAAACCTCTCAGCTGTACAATGGACCGTCTACAGAAACAGGTCCAGTTTCATGTAGAAGTGTTTGGAAATAGAAAACAAAATTATACAAATTCCAATATGATGAACTCCTATACTAAATCTGTTTTATGTCTATTATATGATGAACTCCTATACTAAATCTGTTTATGTCTATTATATGATGAACTCCTATACTAAATCTATTTATGTCTATTATATGATGAACTCCTAAACTAAATCTGTTTATGTCTATTATATGATGAACTCCTATACTAAATCTGTTTATGTCTATTATATGATGAACAACCAACTGCAAAGTGAAATGCCTTGAGACTTTACCTGGTCAGACAGATACTTGGTGTATGTCCACATCCACTTGCTGGCATAAGTAGTAAGGACCTGTTTGATTGGCTGCAGGTCGACACGTAGCCAACCCACGTTGTGGAAGTCCTCCAGGCTCTGGATTTCATCACGTGCCGTCTGCAACACAAGCATTCAGTGTCATCATTAAAACCATAATTTATACATCACTGACCATGTTGATTGACAATGAGAAGTGCCAGCCACAACTTCGACATGCTGGCTTGCCAGTTTTGTGACACCGTAATATTTTAAACACTATCAATAAAATAGATAAATATCAACTAAAACTGTAATCCACAGTCTAACTTATACCCCTGCTGCCATAAAGCTAGACATTTCTGTAACAACATCAAACGCCCCTGCTCCTATGTCTGTAACAACATCAAACGCCCCTGCTCCTATGTCTGTAACACCATCAAACGCCCCTGCTCCTATGTCTGTAACAACATCAAACGCCCCTGCTCCTATGTCTGTAACAACATCAAACGCCCCTGCTCCTATGTCTGTAACAACATCAAACGCCCCTGCTCCTATGTCTGTAACAACATCAAACGCCCCTGCTCCTATGTCTGTAACAACATCAAACGCCCCTGCTCCTATGTCTGTAACAACATCAAACGCCCCTGCTCCTATGTCTGTAACAACATCAAACGCCCCTGCTCCTATGTCTGTAACAACATCAAACGCCCCTGCTCCTATGTCTGTAACAACATCAAACGCCCCTGCTCCTATGTCTGTAACAACATCAAACGCCCCTGCTCCTATGTCTGTAACAACATCAAACGCCCCTGCTCCTATGTCTGTAACAACATCAAACGCCCCTGCTCCTATGTCTGTAACAACATCAAACGCCCCTGCTCCTATGTCTGTAACAACATCAAACGCCCCTGCTCCTATGTCTGTAACAACATCAAACGCCCCTGCTCCTATGTCTGTAACAACATCAAACGCCCCTGCTCCTATGTCTGTAACAACATCAAACGCCCCTGCTCCTATGTCTGTAACAACATCAAACGCCCCTGCTCCTATGTCTGTAACAACATCAAACGCCCCTGCTCCTATGTCTGTAACAACATCAAACGCCCCTGCTCCTATGTCTGTAACAACATCAAACGCCCCTGCTCCTATGTCTGTAACAACATCAAACGCCCCTGCTCCTATGTCTGTAACAACATCAAACGCCCCTGCTCCTATGTCTGTAACAACATCAAACGCCCCTGCTCCTATGTCTGTAACAACATCAAACGCCCCTGCTCCTATGTCTGTAACACCATCAAACGCCCCTGCTCCTATGTCTGTAACAACATCAAACGCCCCTGCTCCTATCAGATTTGTGTCAGTTTTTGAAAATTTCTATAAATATCAATCATGGTAACCTTGATATAGAACAATTGCTGGAGCAATGACAATTAATTAGAACCCAATGGAAGGGATGACCAATTAATTAGAACCCAATGGAGATGGATGACCAATGATATGTCCCCTTCCCCCTTAATGATAGTGCATAACCACCTTAAGCACTGACCACGTGTTCTAACTCTCAAACAATGGTTTACAGGAGTAAGGATCTAGAAATCAAGCAAGTCTAAGTCAAAGTCTATCTAACATTTAGGTAAATATAGCAGTGTTACCGGTGTTTAGGAAGTACTTGCCCTGTAAATCTCTACCAGTGTTACCGGTGTTTAGGAAGTACTTGCCCTGGAAATCTCTACCAGTGTTACCGGTGTTTAGGAAGCACTTGCCCTGTAAATCTCTACCAGTGTTACCGGCGTTTAGGAAGTACTTGCCCTGTAAATCTCTACCAGTGTTACCGGCGTTTAGGAAGTACTTGCCCTGTAAATCTCTACCAGTGTTACCGGTGTTTAGGAAGAACTTGCCCTGTAAATCTCTACCAGTGTTAACAGTGTTTAGGAAGTACTTGCCCTGTAAATCTCTACCAGTGTTACCGGTGTTTAGGAAGTACTTGCCCTGTAAATCTCTATCTCAGAATCAAACTCATCCAGACTTGGGATGCCGGTGTCTGCCTCCTCTGTCAGGTTTTTCGGGGTGAGGAATGTCCGCTCTGCAGTCCCCATCAGACCAGCTGAGTTAATGCTACTTGTGGACGAAGCTCTGGAAAACACCATTTTAGTTTTGATTCTGTTTCCAGCACTGCATCATCTGTTCTCTATATCTATAGTGTTACTAATGACAATGGATCCAAACTTCGAGTACAGACTGATTTCCAGGAGGATTACAACATGCCAAACGTTCACTTACAACAGCCTGTACATATAATCTTAATCTAGTTTTCTCACATTCCAGTTTCTTATAGTTGGGAAAGAAAGTGTTACTAAGTATCACCGTGACACAGCATCAGTAGAAATACCTTCGTTCCTACATCTTCCTCACTTTAAGCTCAAATACAACGAGTAAAGCATCGTCTTAATGTATCATAATTTGTAGCTGTAAAAAAAATGTAAATTTAAGCTGAGCTTGCATTGACCACTGATATGGGCTATACCTTGAGGAACTCCTTGACCTTGACCTCTCTGATGCCATTTGCCGGATGTTTCCTGCCATAGTCCTGTTGGGGCTCCGGAGAGGGTTTGGCGACAGTTTCCCACACAGAAATTCCTCAAATGTCATATTCACATCTTGTAGCCACAAAAATGCATAATCTCCAAATATCTCTATCAGTTTCTGGAATAAGGAAAAAGAAAATGTAAAAAGTGAACTTCACAATTTCAAAATCAATTGCAACATTACAAAGTCAAAAGAATTCAAATTAAACTAAAGGTTTTTCAAAACCGCTGATTTGTTTTATGTATCAAGTAAATGTAGATTTTGTAAGTAAAGCCAGAGGACATTAGTTCACCGGCTGTAACTTTGATACCTTGCACTCCTCACTGTTATCGTCCACCATGGAACTGATGTCCTCCAACAGCTGTTTCACTTCCTCGTCTGCCGAGATGTAATCCTGATAGGTACCCTGAGTACAACAGATGTAAACACACAACAGTCACACATACAAGTAGTACACAGTGAATTAATCACAAAAACACAGCACCTGGTCAAGGCCAAGAGACAAACATTTACACAAAGCTTGGTAACACTTGGAAAACCGACCAAATTGCATAAGCTTACTTGGCCTTTTGGGCCAGATGAGTTAAAATGTTGGCAAATTTTACAGTAGTCTCAATCGGGTAAGTGAAATTATTGAAGTTACTTTTGGTCCCAACATTTTGACAAGTTTTCCCCTGGCCAGATAGCCATCCAACCATTTCTGGACAAGTTCCTGGACACTGATGACTGATGAGGACTGGTCCAGTGGGGGCCTAAACGCTACCCTGTTGTCAATGAGCTCCAGGCGAATGGTCAGTATTGGCATAATTATGTTGTCCTGCGGTTACAAAAACAACATCATTATTACAATTTAAGATAGAAGTCTTCATTTTTAAATCTCAAAATTAATCTGGAAAAAAAGTAAAGCTACAATATTATTATGCACTGATTGATAACTTAAATGAAACATTGAGCCCCCTGAGGACCCTTAAGGTGTCCTACACATCAGTGGGACACTGAGAAGCCATCAGGACATGTACACAAGCCCTAGCCTGGTACTGGGCCCCCTCAAGACCCTTAAGGTGTCCTACACATTAGTGGGACACTGAGAAGCCATCAGGACATGTAAACAAGCCCTAGCCTGGTACTGGGTCTCCTCAAGACCCTTAAGGTGTCCTACACATCAGTGGGACACTGAGAAGCCATCAGGACATGTACACAAGCCCTAGCCTGGTACTGGGCCCCCT